TACTGCTACTGCTACTGTTACTGGTACAACTACTACTTGTAGTGCTACACTACGACCCTGCTGTTTGCGTTGATGATGACGGTCACCTTTGTCTTGACTTTGACTCTCGAAGGTCCGTTGCAACCCTGGCCAGATCAAGGCTCGTTTGCGGGCTCCCTGATGCGAGGTGTCGGCAATGGGTTGGCGGGGGGTGTCCGACCTAGGTTGATAGCTTTTCACGTTCCTCTTTTCGATGTAGGTTTTGGGCCTCAGGGTCACGTTTGATTTTTGCGTTGTTTTTTTTGGTTTCGGGGTTCAAATGTCTAGATTCTTGCTCCTGCCGCCAGGCAGATGGTGGTGATCAGCAGAAGTTCCATGACCCTTGGCCAAAGCACAATCATGCAACAAGACCAAAGAGTGAAAGAGCACTTAGCATTCCAGACCCTATAGCTCCAAGAACCGCTCTGGGACTCTGATCTTGACTGTGGCGGGAAGACCATGCGCACCCCGAAAGAACCCCGCGTACTGTGGCGGGAGCACAACTTCGAGTTTCGGCAAATGTCCCAACCCCCTAGAACGGAGTTTCGGGACAGCACCACTGTGTGTGGAAGGTTGCCACGACCGACATTGATACCAGAGCCCATGATGCTTGCCCGTGCACATCTGCACCCAGAAATCCATTAAGCCGAGGATGGTATGCGTGCCATGCGTGGCATGGGAATCCAGGAGTCTTGCTTGAACTTGGAAAGAGACGCTTCACTAGACTGACGGTTCCGGCGACACTGCTGCTTCTTGATCGAGTACGGTAGAACATCGAAGGTGTTTTTATGAGAGACTTGCCACGGCAGCACTGCCAGCATTTCCAGCAGTCGAGGTGTGGCCATCCCCGGACGTGATGGAGAAGATGGGTGCGAAGGATGCTTTGTGCAAGGCCGGTTTCGGTTTCGTCGCCACGCAGTCATCTTAGAAGCAATCGTGGCCAGGTGGCAACACTCAACATCGGCCTGCCAGACACATTGGCGTCCGATGCTCAGCGATTGTTACTTTTTGTTTATGCGTCAGCTTTTGCATCTTAAGAATCTACTTGCTTGGGCTGCAGCATGTGGCATGTTGCTTTTGTGAAAACAAGTCATTTCTGATCGCATGCAGTCGTCAACGAGTTGCCTTCCGACATGCTGGCCACAGTCCTGCCACACTTGTATAGATATGTGGAGCTGGAAAAGCCCTTGGCGCTGACACTGAGGTATTACTCCCCGGAGGAATTCGGTGCTGGCTTCAAGAAGACAATGGCCTTCCAGCCTCGAGTGGCTCAGCAAAGACGAGCTTGTGAGCTTGTGCTTTCCCTTTCTCACTCTCCTCGCAAGCGAGGTCATTAAGCAAAACCGTGGCTCCAGCGGGGAAGGCCTACCGCGGTTTGGGGCTGCCACATCGTGGATGGAGACATGTTGGGCGAACTGCAACATCTCATATCTGAGAGGAAGGAGAGTCGATCGTCCCTCGTGAACGCATTGAGGCTCTTGGTTGATTACTGGATCTGGCTGCAAGGTGCTTAATCCACCTATTGTGGTTGAGAGGTATGGGAGTTCCGTGCCTTCTGTTCGTGCTTCCATCGAACTGTTTCACACCATCCTCCCCAAACAGTATCCGCCTTTCGAAGCGGGTCCTGCTTTGGGCTTACAGTGCCTGCAGCTTGCAGGCATCTGGATCATCAAGCTTAAGGAGGGCCGCCAAGCTGCACACACCAATTTGGGATTTCGTGCAGAAGGGGATCTCAGACAAACTTGGTGCCCTCATCGGCTTCAGGGCTCTGACTTCTACCAGTGTTGCGATGTTTCACTCAGGCAACTACTGCAAGGAGCCCCTTGGCCCAAACGGATGAGCCTATCTCGCACAGATCGGCATATCATAGCATGGATTCAGGGGGTGTGGACTTGGTTCGGATGACTGCATATTCAGAGCCAGATGCCCGCATTGCTTTTCCGCAGCGAAGGTATGGAGAGCGCCTCTGCGACGATTCCGAAGTCCTGTCCCTCATGGAGGCACGTGCGAAGCAGCGAGCGCTGGTCTTCGAGGCCAACGACAACCATGAAGAAGAGCACACCGTGGCAGAGTTCATCGAATTCTGCGTCAGCGGCCGCAGCGTCGACTCCTCAAGCTTCTTTGCATGTTGAGAATCAGAAGACCGCGATGACCAAGGACAAATCCGGAGAGTGGACGTCCAAGGGCGTGGGAAAGTATCTGGAGGCTTCCATTCAATATTTCGTGCTAGTGGTCCTCGGGAAACATTCTCCTTGGCTCGGATGCGAACTGCCGTTTCACCCAGCGCGCAGGGTGGCAAGGCCGCTGGTGGCCAGCTTGCCGCGTGCTCAGCGCAGTCCGTCACCCACCAGTGCTCCGACATCTGATTTGCAGTTTTCGTGCGTGCACGCCAGGTCGACCAGCGCTTCTGCCCACGCATTGTCGAAGGGGAGCTCCGACACTTAGCTGCAAAAAGCTACGAGGGCTGGCAAGTTGCAGGTGGCCTCCGAAAGTATCTGAATGAGGTTACAACCTGATTGTCGACGCTCTGGTTGGAATCATCCACAAGAAGCCGAAGGCGCGACGCCCTTTGCCCACTCCGTGAAGTGCAGCCGCAGATGCAGAGATGCGTTCTTCCTCACTTCATAGGAGGGCGGCATCTCCGCTGTGGGCGGCACCGGCTCGGCCCGGGCCCAAGCAAAGAGCCCGCAGCGGAGCGCAAACTGCCGAAGCTCAGATCTACACCTACTACGGACCCGAGGAGGCCCTGGAGGGAGACATAGGGAGACGCTGTGGCGGATTTTCTTTCTATTCTCTGTGAGAACGCAGTCCCAAGCGGGATCCCGAACTGTGGCCTCTATGAGAGTTATCGCTCTGTCACCCTGAGAATCCAAGCGGGCCCTGGCATGTGTCCAGCAAAAAGGCGCAGTTCAAGACCCTGACCAGCAACTTCCTGGAGAAGGAGCGGCACGTAGCCATGTGCAGGCTCTGCAGGGCAGCTGCTGGATCAGAGTAGCGAGGAAGTAAATGACAAAACCGAGTTCTTTTTGTTGGTTCCATTTTCTCACGGCCTCCTTTGTCACTTCGCTGTTCGCCGGCCTTGGTGCCCAAGAGGATCTGCCGCTGGTGATGCCAGCCCTGGACCTCCCGAATGAGCCGGTGCCCCTCTGGTGGACCACGGACTTCATCTTGGCTTCCCCCGAGGGCACGCCCTAGGAGGAGGAGAAGTGGATCGTTGGCGAGTTCAACTGTTGCTCGTGCTGCAACCGTGCTCTCATGTGGGCGCAAGTGACAGGCTGCTGAGGTCTCCCTTCTTTGTCTTTGTCTCTCGTTCAGGCTCCTGCGTCGGCATCAGTCGATGCCTGGCAGCGTACTGCAAGGATCACTTCTGCTGTTGAACTCATCTCATCCGCGTAAGCTCAGTGCCAGCTGGAGCTGTTCGTGCTGTGATCGCCGTTGTTGGTGGCTCAAGCATATCTCCAACTTTATGGACAAGCCTGTTGCACACCAGTTCCATCATGCGCGCATCTCACGGATTGTTTGTCCCCCAAAGCTCCAACTGATACCTGATATCTTCCCGAATAGAGCCAGAGCTGGTCTAATCCATGCGTGCGGATGTTTTAGCTATGTTTGCCCCACGATGCCAAGTGCCACTGCCGTCAGCCTACAAGCACCCTTCCGCGCGAAGACTAGGGCCCTTGCTGCTTCTGTGCGACTCGGCTGGCAACACAACCTGAAACCCAGCCCTTTTCTGCGGATCGCTCCCAAGACCTGAGGGCTCCTTGCGGTCCTTGCCCTTGCCTTCGCAGCGCTCTTGGAGACGGCCGGTGCGGTGTCGAAGCGATCTGGCCACAAAAGCAGTCTTGCATGGGCAAGCCCAATCTGGAGGTGCACTTGCAAAGTCCCTGCACCAACTGCCTGATGAATGGTCTACCAGTTTACCTTTGAAGAGAAAGCTCGCAGGGCTAGCGGGGCGAGCGACGCCGCTGTGCTCCTGAACTCAACGTGCTCCTGCCGGACTTGGTCGCCACCGAAGGTCGCATTTTCACCAGCCTGGCCTGCAGGTACTCCAATGCCTTGGGCAGCTGCCAGGCAAGGATGTAGACACGTGTAGACGGCTCACAACTGCGGATCGCCCTGGTCATCTCCTTTGCAAACTCACATCTGCAACATGGTAACATGACTGTACGGCGGAACTGTACTCTGCGCAAAGGTGGTCGTGTGGCCGGATGGGCGAATGGAGTTTGAACTACATGGTTTCGGCACTGCTGACACCACGGGCAAGATGCTGCTCAAGCTGCATGAGGTTTCGAGTCTTGAACGAACATCTCCGTTGAATCTGTCTTGCCGAGGCTGCGAGACTGTCGGGCTGCGATGAAGCGAATCGATGACTCGGTCAATTGTACCACGGATCTGTGTATTACTGCAGAAGCACTCGTCACGCCTCGTGTGTACTGCTGACGAAGGCACAGCGCTGGTTGACATGAGGATGGGCTTGGGTTGTTCACCCCTAGCAGCTCCACTGCCGCACTGTACACATACTCATTGTCAGCACGCCATGTTACGAACATCGTTACTGCAAGCCTCCGGCCGCCAAGGTGCCGGTGATCTCTCGTTTCATGCGGGACGAGGGCCCAAGGATTCAGTACTCAGCAGTACTTGGACCCAGCCCCTCGGAGCTGTAAGGCATGGATGTGGAAACCGTCGGCAGGCAAGTCATGTCCTGATCTTCCGACCAGCAAAGGACCACTCATGGCGCTGGCCCAGACCATTGCAACTGCGGCGGCCCAGTCTAGAAAAGACGTTGGGAGTCACAACCTCTGGTGGTGTTTTTCTGTACAGAGGTGCATCAGACGGGCGTCGCCTTCTTCATACACCGGCATGATGCAGAAAAGTGGTGCCAGATCCCCACGCGGTAAGGACGTCTCGACTGCTCTGGCTGAGATGTCCACTAGGCCGCGCAGGCAGCAGAGGCCAGCAAGAACACTCTTGCCCCTCGCTGCCGTGCCTTGCACAGACTACTTTGCAGAGCAGTTTTCAGTCCCTCCTCAAAGTACAGGAGGCGACCCGCGGAGACCCAAAGAGTTCGCAACAAATTGCGGAGCTGAGCTTGCCCGTTTCGCTGTTTGCACGTAAATGTTCGGGTTCGCTTTGAATTCTTATGATGTGCCCGGAGGATGACACACCAAACGCGAGCTATGACGATATCACCGCAGAGGACAAGGCAGAGGCTGACAAGTTGCGGCCTCAGAAGCAGGAGGCACACGCACCGGAACGGCTTGTAGAAGCTCTGGAACTGTCTCGCCACGCTCATTAGCATTGTTGCGGCTCATCCGCTACACCATACACGATTCAGCTGTCGGACGTGCGAAGGTATGGCAAGCTCATGGGCGAGAAGGCGGTCCGTTCTTGACCTGAGCTGACACCAACAACAACGGCTCACACTCGAAATATGGGTAACCACAGGTTTGAAGTCTGACTGTTTCTTTCTACATCTTTCCCTTCTGTCACAGGGAGTACCCTAAACAGTTCCTAACTCCTAGCACGACAGCTGTCAGGCCCTGGCCATCCTCTCGAAGTGAAACTGCAGATCGCAGGGAGCCCGGTAATCCAGCTGTATTGTAGAGAGCCAGGTTTGCTTGTGATCTTACATGTCGCTACACTTCATGACGCTTCTCCATGGCCAGATCATATCACATCGTCTTACTAGGAAGCAGCAATTGAAAGCCTCTCCGAGGCGGCACTGATTTGACAGCGCCTCGGATGAAGAAAGGCTTCGGTTAAAGGAGGAGATTTGGACATTGAGTCGCTTGCAGCTCTCGCTTCCTTGCTGGGGCTTGGTTTCTAGCTATGGCACACGGTCCTGTCTGCAGAGGCCGGGTGTCGCAGAAAATTGGCATGCTCGAGCTGCAAGTGAACGCTGACTCTGCATAATACCTTTCCGGAGTCCGAGGGACAGTTCTGCTTTGGCACAGCTTCGGCACACCTCAGCAGGTATTTGTGTAAGTCTGGGGCTGGACGGCCGGAATGGCTTCCCAATCAAGAAGTGGCACAAGAAGCATGTGAAATCAGTACTTAGTGGGCTTACATGCCCCACCCAGCCACCCCGACAAGCAGATCCTAGTCCTAGTCCTAGCCAACTCCACAAGTGCAGGTGGTAGCTTCCTTCCTTTCCATTTCTTTCCCACTTTCAGATTTCACACATTCGGTTCAAAGTTTTCAGCAGTTTCAGCACATGTGCCTCGGACACTTCAGAATCCCTCTTGTCTTGTCTGGCGGCGTTTTGGAGAGAGCTTCCTAGGGAAGCCCGCCACGAGCCCTCTAAAGGGGGAGATCTCTGAGTTCTCATGTCGACTGCACGAATGCCTGCAGCTCTCGCAGTCGCATCATTCCATGTGAGCCTTGCGTAGGGGGTTCCGCAGGCTGCTCAATGCGTCTTGCGCAGCCCTCTTCCCGTCCATCCGCTCGTTTCTCTTTTGTTGGACCGGTCTCGCCGTGCTTCACCATGCTTGACCTGTTAGGTTTACACTTGCAAGGATGGACGATTTTCTTTCGCTTGGCCACAGACTGTTGGGTGTGACTTCAGGGCTGATGTCCAGGACTGCCGGTGGCTGTTGAGGCACTGTTTGTGCTTCCGGCTGTGGCAGTCCTCTTCTGAGTGTGTCAGCAGCCGAATGCTGGACCTATCAGGGCCAAGCGCCCTGAGGGACTGACCGCAGAATCAGTTTGAACGCCGTGAGTTGACGCTGCTAGCATCTGTCTGATGTCGGGATCTCGCAGCCGCATCTTGTGGACATGTCGTGCTACCTTGGACGCAGGGTTCTCACGGTGCTCCTTCGACACAGGCTTCGGATCCAGTCAAACTGGCTTTTAAATCTCCAGCGGCATGAAAAAATGAAGCACTCCAGAATGGCGCCGCTGACTGCGCTCATGCAGGATCTATCTCCTTGACAGGTCAAGAGATGATGAGTGCCCGTGCAATTGATCAGAAGGAGGCTCGGAGAGATGTTTACGCATGTGTTGGCAGATGGTCAGAGGGCAAGGTGACAACATCAGAAAGGACGCTATCCTGCTTCAACCGTAGCCGTGGGGCACGAGCTTGATCTCGATTCGGAGTCCCGGGCTGTCATGGAGGCAGCGACGAAGTCGCTGACGACCTCCATTGGTTTCACAGGTGTCTGGGAGTGCCTTCGCGGCTGGTGGACGCGGTCGAGCGAGAAGGACCTTCGAGAGGCAGAGGCTGCGCTTCTGAGAAGGGCGGTGTCCTCGAAGGTGAAGGTCACGGAGGTTCCAATCTCCGATGAGCATACCGTGCATACGCTTTGTGTCTCGCAAGGGGCGAGGACGAGCGGTGCGAGCGGGCTGGCGCCTGTGGTTCTAATCCACGGCTACTTTATGGGCTCAGGTTCATGGGCTCACAGCTTAGATGCCCTGGCCTCCACTGGCAGACATGTCTACTCCATTGACTGGCCGGGATGGGGCCTCTCCTCGAAGCCTGACTTTCCGACGGGTCAGGCCGGCAGCATCTCGGTTCGTGCTTACGTCGGCATCGAAAACATATCCACTCTTCGGACCCCTCAGGGCACCCGTGTGTGCGAGCAGTTCTTCGTGGAGGGCATCGAACGCTGGCGGCGGTCCGTTGGCTTGGAGCGTGTGGTACTGCTGGGCCACAGCTTTGGAGGCTACTTCGCTGCCTGCTATGCCTCCTTGCTGCATTGCTGGCTCCATTGAACTCCCTGATACCAACGCTAGTCAGTTCAGATTTTGTTGTGAAGGTCTGTGTGCCCGGCATCGCGAGCGCCGTGCTAAGGCCATGAAGCATCCCGAGAACGTGGAGGCGCTGATTTTGGCAAGTCCTGTCGGCATGGGTGAGAAGAGAACCTTGGACTTCTTGGACTCTCAGCCGCATCTTTAAAGCCGGGCAACACGAAGCCTCAGGAGGCGAGCAAGGGCTGCTGAACCCTGAGAGACTTCAGTCGCTGCCTTGGTGGCAAAGGCCGGGTTCGGGGAGCCATGGGATCCTGAGTAGTCTGCTTGCCAGGCACATGCCAGTGCCTGCCAGTGCCATTGGTAGTGCAGCTTCCTTACTGTACTTGATTACAAAATCCCGCGGATTGTGGCATGTACAGTAGAGTTGTAGGCATCACGAAGTCCCTGGCTAGGACCCTCATCAGAACGGCCCATGACATGTGGTCGGGAGGCGCGATTGTCTTAGATCTGATGTCGCAAGCTTGTGGAACATGCTTACGGGTCAAAGGCTGGACTCCTATGGACCTCGTGCGCCTCTTGACAGAATGGGACATGGTTCAGAGCCCTGCAGTGCACTATGCCCTGCAGCATAGCACTGAGGCGGTCTGGGTCCGGCAGGGCTGTGGCTGGCACAATGGTACATGGATCGCCGGTTTCGCCTGCCTCGTGAGCTTGGGACCATGGAGGCTCCAAGAGAGCGTCCTTGGGTCCTAGGCCTTCCGGTAACTGCAAGGGTTCACCTAGGACCTGGAGTTCCTTACAGGACCAGGCAGCTAGGCCGAAATGCTTGCTCGTCGAGCTGTCCAGCAGCATCCAGCAGTCGTGTCTGCTCCAGCCTTGATTTGTGAGAGTGGATGTCTGTCGCTTGAATGTCATGGTTGTTGACCGAGTCTTGACTGCAACAGGCGGACAAAGACGAAACCGCCGCCTACATCCATCAACTGGACGCCTGGTGTCAGTTTCAATGTGAAGCACTCGGCAAGCCTTTCCTATTTCAGAATTCGCTGAACAGGCGAGCGAACCAGTCCCGGGATTTTCAAAGGGTGTCGTCGAGTCTTAAGGAAAGCTTGCTACTTGGAAACTTGCTCAGAATCCGTTGCATCGTGTTGTGCATCTAGTTCCGGATCGATCCTACACCCTGTCAGGCATAGTGCCTAAATCCTAGAGCTATGTTAAGATAAGCTTCCCGAACAAACTCTAATCTTTAAACTCCATGCCGGGGAAAATTGAAAACACAGAGTGCTATGCATCCATCACGTGCTTCTTGCTGAATATGCATAAATCATAAATCAGCAAATCGCACTCACTTTTCCAAAGTTTGATCGGCCGAGCCGCACAGATGTCATTTCGATTCCAAGACGCAACACCAACGACGTGCACTTGTATTCGTTGCATGTTGTTGCTGTGGCACTCAGCCCACAAGCCGTTTATTCCCCAGGCAGAGCAGCTATCCCGACGCCCTGGACAAGCTTAGGCATCCCGAAGCTTCGAAGATAGGTCCTAGAAACCTAAAGTTTCGGTTAGTTAGAAGCTAGCAACCCCAGGCAGCTCGCCCCGCTGGGTCGGAGCGCTGTCTCGGTGAGCTGCTGTCCTTTGGTGCCTGGGCTAAGGCCGGGGGCGTTGTCTGAATCTGTTTATGCATGTCTCACCATTACTTACTTCTGTTTCTCCCTAAGTCTGCATGTCTACTTCAGGGGCAGGGAGTGGACGGCTGGGGTCTCTTGAAGGCGGGCTTTCTCTGCGTCAGGAGCCCATCGGTCCGCGACTAGCACAGCGCTGGAAGGCTGACTGTATGGGCGAGCAGTCCAGTGGATCTTGGTCAAGTAGCATGAATCCAGTTATCACAGTCGAACTTATGTGCCCTGGGTGAATGCAAGTAAGAACGCGAGTATCTATGAGACTCACTACACTGCAGATACCACCCTAGCGGATAATCCAGTGTGGCGCTCGAGCGCAGACAAGAGCCTTTTGAATACGAAGCACTTGCCGCCTGAGAGCTGCCAGTTTCAGCTGGCCCTTTGCGCTGCTGTGAGATAGGCTCAGCACTGCAAAACACCGCAGCTGCAGGAGTTGGGAAGCCGAGCGCCACCAGTCACTCTGCTCTACGGCCACCCGTGCTGCAATGGAATGCGGCCTGCAGCTGCATGCAGTGCTGCATGCTGAAGCATTTTGGGCTGAGGCGAGTCTGATTGGATGGACGCGGGAGCAGGCACGAGTTTCGCGGGCGAGGAAGCTTTAGTGACTTTAGTGACTTGAAAAAGTTCGGCACCCGTCGTCACTGGGCGTTTTCGAAGGTGTGGAACTGGCACGCGAGCTCGCCAGAATTCGGCACCCTGCACCAGAAGTGCGGCTCGGCCAAGCAGGGCACAGAGCTGCAGAGCGCTGCTCACTGTGAGTCGGAGTGCTGTGAGTCGAAGGCTCATGGTCGAGGGTGCTGGCCACCAGCTCTTCCTTGATAACCCTGTGGCCCGGCCGAAGATTCCCCGGCGCCAAGTCTCAGACGGGTCCGCGGCTGAGGCCGCCTTCAATGCCGCCTGCTATCGTGCAACTCGCCTGCAGATCTCCGTCTCGACGTCACGAAATAGCAGAACTTCTATAGGGGGAATGCAAGAGGGTGAAGCTGCGGTTGTGCCAGGCCTGACACAGGTGTCGCGGCCGGCGGTTTCGCATCAGGGCCTGACACCTGTGCCAGGCCTGACACGAGAACCCCAGTTAGGGTTTAGGATTTAGATATGAGCCGCGTCACTCGTGACACTTGTGTCGGCATGGCAAGTCCGCCCTGCTGGTCCCTCTCTAGCCCCACCTGTGCGAAATTCACCATCGGTACTGGGATGACCTGAGTTGACTTTTCGTGTGATGTGTGCTGTTACAGTGTACACACGCCCGGGCACGCACACCGATTGATTGGCAATGGATGATGGTGTGACCAACATGTTTCGGAAATGCATAGGGGTTTCTGTGTGTGTCTACATGCCTATGCACTCTGTTAGCCAATTGGTGCTGTAGTTGACCAAGTGTTGACTTACGTGTTCAACCTTGAAGTACTTGGATGCATTCGATTCAGTTTCCCCACGATCGGTGTGGTTGTGAGGGTTAGGCGCAGCCACACTTCTCCTCGCTCTCTGCTGATCCTCGCATGCAGAACCAATGGAGTGCCGACCTCCACAGCCGATGCACAGAAAAACTCAGGTGCGTTTCCCTGGCGTGCCCAACCTAGTAGCACCGCAGAGGAAACCTGGAGTACCTTTTATCAGTGTCCGGGAATTGGATGACTGCATGACTGGACACGTGGATGCATTGATGCATATGTGCATGGATGAATGGACCAGAATGGATGACTGGAGATGGATGCCTGGCTGGATGGATGCACGCATGCAGAAACAGACTAGATAGGTAGATCAGGCAGATAGATAGACAGACAGAGTGATAGACAGATTTCCAGGTTTTCAGTGGCCAAGTTTCCAGATTTGCACAGACTGAGCTTTCAGATTCCAGATGTTCCGGGGAGCTTCATTCGATACCTCACAACGTGAGCCTGGGATCTGAGGTTTGGGCGGGTGGGTGTGTGCGTGAGGGTTCTTTGTACCTGGGGCTGGCCGGGATCCGGTTGCCATAGGGGCCCTCGAGACCTCGGCATGAGAAGCGGGGTTCTTCTGATGCTGCTGATGCTGGCCTCAAGGGCCCGATCCAAGGTGCTACTGTTGTGTAATCTGTTCCACGGCGTACACGTTGTGAAGTTTTCTTGATTTACGAAATACGACCGTGTGCAGTTTGAGTGTGGTTTTGTCCCTCGACCTGAACAGCCTGAGGCTTTGGGTTCAGGCCTACCATCAGTCGCCGGATTCTACCGGCAGCTCTTTCAGATGGCAAAGCGTTGAAAAGCAAGCGAGGGCGAAGGAATGCCTGTGCAAAATGCCGGAGCACAGTCGAGCCGTAGCGATCTCCGACCTGTGGGAGGCAGAGACTCTTCGGGAGCTCATGCAGCATGTGGAGGCGCTTCAGGCCCAGGCTCGCCATGAGCTCAACAGACGCGACATGGCACACCGACACAACACCGGGTCTGCACGTCTGCCAGGAATCGACGCAGCTGCAGGTTCGGACGCAGTCCTGCATCTTGCAAGGCAGTTCGAAATTGCCGGCACCGGCAAACTTGCTAATACCGAAAACCGCTTCCTTAATTGTCACAACAGAGATGGCAAGATACAGATATGCCAGAGGCAGCATTTGAGCGCCGCTGGAATCGAAGCGCTAACCACCGACGCTGCTCGGGCAGGAGCTCCGCGGGGCCCGCGGCGACAGCGCCCGGAGCTCTGAGGCCGTCCTTGTTGGACGTATCAGAGACCCTTCAGAGATGGCAGTACTGCTGATCGAAGATGTTTGCCAGCAAAGAGCATCTCTGGATTTTGTCAAGGCTGTGGGGACCTCCTCCCGGGCTCTCTCACCCTTAGTGGTTACTTGAAGTAGACGTGCATATAAAGACTCAGCATCAGCTCGCTTGATTCTACTCTACGTGCCAGACGTGACGAAGCAATGACTTAACAGGATCACCAGAAGCGTCTGAGCGGTGTGGCCGACGAACTGCAGTCGCAGGCACAGGTGGTTAGAGAACGTTGACAGGAGAGCAGGTAAGCTGGAGGTGTTCTCACATCGTGCCTCTGTCCCATGAACTTCCTGGTTTCCACCAGTGCAGGCGCTGGTTCTCAAGTCCTTGCAGCAGGCCAACCGGCTGGCTTTCCGTGACTCCAGCTCCCATTTTGACTGCACGATCTCAGTGGCAATTTCAGCTGCAACCACTATCATGTGCTCTGCTCGTGCCACCCAGCTACCCACCTGGTGAGGCATCGAAGGACCCGCAGGGCTCGGCTGTAGCACCCAGGTAGGCGGAACATGGCCGCTTCGGACAACTGCCCGTGAGTGCATTGTCTGTGAAAGGCATAGATATACTGTGTGTTCAATGTGCTGAATGTGCAGCAGCGAACAGCTCTGCGCTTTGCCACCTGATGGGAGGACACAACTTCGCAGCTGCGAGAAGAGCTTCAAGCGCAGGCTGTTGCTAATACAGCGAAGCCTCGTGTCATTCTCGCTGAGAGCCTGAGTTCCACATGCCACATGCCTCGAGCCGTCTCATGTTCAACGGAGGACCCTCGCGCCCAAATCGGTGAGCTCAGCAAGGATTTGAGCTTACGGGCTGAGCTGAGTCAACTGCAAGCTCAAGGGAGTAACAAAACATGTCTTGGCTGAAGGAGACAGCGAAGCTCCTTTCTGACCTGGGCCGCCAGGCGGAGCTTTTGAGGAATTGAATTGTGTGTTCCGGGGCATGGGATGAGTTAGTTGAGGCCTTCGGTTTGTGGTCCGCCCTGTTGGAAGTTCGAGACATCGATTCTGACGTTTCCGGTGATAGTTCGAGCGACAGCAGTCCCAGAGCCTCTGGAAGGTGGAGTCCCTTCGCAGCCCCGAGGCGCGCGCCCCGGGCACCGAAACCTCCCTGGTGCTGTGAAAAATGCGCGCCAGAGGTTCCAGAGAGGGTGTCGGAGCTGCAGAGGGGCTTCGAGGCACTGCAGCGGAGCGTCGAGGCGCGAAGCGGCGCGAAGTTGAAGCTCCCAGAGCTGAGACTCCCAGAGCTCCGGACTCGCAGAGTCGACCGGAAGCGCCTTGCAAAGGCCTTGAGGACCAGCGAATCCCAGCACATGGCCCAGACCTCAGATGTCTGGATCGCTGATTCCTTGTTGCAAAATCCTCCGATGGTGAGCTCAAGTAGCGATCCACGAGATTCGCCCATTGTCGAGGCCGAGATACAGAGATCTGCAGAGAGTAACTCTCAGTCTCTACAATACCTCCGCGCGCAGGAGAGCGGCCACGCTCATGCCGAATCACGGAAGTGGCTTCATAGATTTGTAATGCAGCATGTAGCCACCTTTCATGTAGTTTCATCTTGCTGCAGCGCTCCTGTCTCATGCCGAAGGACACAGGGCAAAAGCTCATCGAGTTGCAGCGGCTAGTGGAGACACAGTCGAGGCCTGTCGGTGTTGTTCAACAGGAGATGGGCCTTGGTCCTAAGCTGCAGGAGTTTGGAGGCCGCCCGCAGCCAGGCAGGAAGCTGAGCTTGTGATTGGGGAGGGCAGGCAAGCAAAAGGGAAGGCAGGCGATGTTGGACTCGAGTTGAGGAGTAGCCTTCACTCAGCAAGAATCTCTCTCTCAGAGGACGCCATGGAGTTGCGGCGGGTCGTGGAGGCCCAGGGCGCCCAGCTGTCGGAGGCCCTGCGGAGCCAGGCCAGGCCAGGGGACCTTCTGTGCCAAACGAAAGCGAATGAAGAGTGTGATCGACTGTGGTGTGTCGAGCGTCAGGACTCCGAGAAGAAGCTGAGTGATCTCCGGAAGTCCACTGAGGCACGGGGATGACATCCCATGACTTTCATTCTGCACATTCGTTTCTCTGCTTCCCGCAACCAGTCTGCACGCCTCAGGCGCTGGCAGATCTTCTGCAGGAGATGAAGCCTAGAGTTCAGGACAGGCAGAGGTTAGCACCCGAAGCATTCACCTGCAGCTGTGGGTCCGAGGATGTCCCAGGCTTCTCACGTGTGTCACCTTGAGGAGACATCTGCTGGCCTGGGCTACATCACGACAGCCATGGCCACCCACAGTACGGGTTTGCAGGCGCAGATCTTAACATAGGTCTGCGGTGCAGGGAGACGTGTCCCCCTTCACCCTGCAGGACCTGGCAAGCCAGGCGGTCGCACGCCACCAGGCCAGCAGTGTACGGTCATCGTGGCGCTGAGTGACACTCAAGTTTGGACCCGGAAGCAGGATCAAGTTGGGTGTGTGCCTGCATCTTTGTTTGCTTCGCGGCGACTCTGCCTGATACTGTAGCCATTTGCTCAGCGTTTGCTGGAACAGCGAGCACAGCCGCGCCGGGCAGCGCCGCCGCAGCGCCATGCTCCGTGCCTTTCTAGGAGCGCCCGGAGCGCGGGTCACGGAGTCTCATTCTCTCGCTCAGTTCTCTGCCAGGATCTGGGCTATTGCTTTGGGTTGTGCTGGCTCAAAGTACCAGTGGTACCAACCATTCCGTACCTTGGGCCAGACTCGTGGATCACTCTGGAAAAATGCCGGTGATCAAGCTCAATCTCTGCTCAGCAAACCGCCATCCAAGGCACAGTCGAAAGGCGAGCATGGGACGGGTCAGCACCACGAGCAGAAAGGCACCCACCATGACATCCATGACAAACCACAAGCCCGGCCTCTCGTCAAAGTATTGGCCTTGTCATTCAGGAAGGCCCGCGACATCCATGCCATAGTTCTTGAGAGGTCGCATAGCAGTCCAGCCGATGCTGCAATCTGTCCTGGCTTAAGGCCGGAGCCAGAGCAAGAGAAACGCCGCCGGACGGAGAGCCACCAGCGGCAGAAGGAGCAGCGAGAGCAGGTCCAGCAGCCGCAGGTTCCTGCGGCGGAGGAACGTTACTCGCTTTCAGCGGCAACGCGCGCTTAGTCTTAGAGGGGCATTGAGGGGCTTTCTCAGTCTTGTTCAGTCTTTGTTAGACCGATCGCAGACGTGTAGCATGCTGCTAAGATGCAAATCCTAGAAGCAGACCCTTGCAAGAGTCCTGGTACGCGAATCCAAGGAACCTGGCACGAATTCCTCCCCCACTTCGCACGGCAGTACACCTCACAGAGGCATGGAGAACAGAGCGAGTGGGGCCAGGCAGGGGGATTGGAAAAAGCTGGCATTGCCTTGGATCGCTGCAAGAGTGTTGTATGAAGCAATTGAACGTCCATTGTATTGCGCTCAGCTTGCTGCCGCGCCGCGTGCCTCGCTTCGTGGCACCTTGCTGTCGGCAGAGGCCTGTATCCCAGCAAAATCTTCATCGGCTTCCCAGGGCATTTATCCACCATGATAAACCTTATCTGAGCAAACGAAAGGACGAAAGGAGCATGGCACACCCCGCGCCGCTCAGGCGCCGGACTATGCCAGCGTAGCGGCTCGTGAGGCCAGTTTGCGAGCGGTCTCCGACTTGGAGCAGCAGGAAGCTCGGGCAGCTGCGACGGCGAGGGACACCTTGCACGCTCTGCGCCAGACCTCTTCGAAGGCTGTGGATGAATGTCAACCTCTTCTAAAAGTCGAGACCCCTAAACGCTTCGCGTATCTGCTTTGGCCACCGGGCTTTGCCTGTGGTTGAACCTTTAGAGGAAGCTCTCAAACGATGCCTCGTGGCCGTGCCTGTGCGCGCGATTGTAATCGTACGCGATCCCTGTCGGGTGTGCGGTTGTGTGCTGTGGCAGTAATTGCCTGCCATCCATGTCTTCAGCAGGACATCCTCAGCAAGGCCAGCGACTGGCACTCGATCCAGGACTTGGTGGCACTCTCCCGGCAGAAAGATGCAAAATCATTACAGGACAGGTTGGAGGCGACGACGAAACAGTTGGAACAGTTTAGCTCTCAACAGACTGCAGCCGGCTTCAATGCGACACGAGCGGCAGAACTTATGGACAACTTAGACAAAGCAGTGGCGAACGTTGCCCAGAGCGTGGAAGTGCAGAGGAAGAGAGCCAAAGCAGCAATAAAGGCTGCTCGGCAAGACGCCCTCGGCCAGGTTCGGCAGCTTGAGAAACGAGCCAGAGCTGCTGTCAGGTCTTGGAGATCGGATGGCAGGCATGCTGTCAACGCACAGAGGCAGGCCAACATGCCAGAGCAGCTCTATGAGAGCCATGACGACCAAATGCGAGATGCCGTCGGCGACACAGAGCAGGAGGTTGAGAACGCAGCCGAGGGCTTGAAGGACAACATCAACGAACATTACGGGAAGTTGGACGACGAACTTGAGGATGCATCCATTGGTGCTAGCAGCAAAGCTTTGCGGCACAGGGCAGAGAAGGCCCAACACCGTCTGCAAGAGCTTGCCCGGAATCTTGGCGTACAGGCGGCGCTATTGGAGGCCCTCGCAAAAGCGCGGTTTGCTGCAGAAGAGAAGTCTTGGAAAGACTTGCATGCTCCACAGCTGCTGGCTGCTGTGCCACGCTCTGCCAACATGTCTTCTGAAGTCGCGACAGCACAGGCACAAGAACAGCATGCTGCTGACAGCTTCCAGAACAGCCTGAACTCTTTGAAGGATATGTCGACCCCCGAGGTCATCCGCAAAGTCAACGGCTGGCAGACACTGCAGGAACTGGTTGCAGGCTCGAAGCCCAAGGAGACGGATTCTTGGGAGAAAACCCTTGAGTCAAAAACCAAAAAGCTCGAGCGATTCAACAATGAGTCTCGCAAAAGTGCCCTTGACTTCGATGCATCGCATGCTGCAGAACTGGCCGACGCTGTCGAAAAAGCTTCCTGGCATGTGGAGCATGATGCAGAGGAACAGAAGCACAGAATGAAGGCCACTCTCAAGGATGCTCGGCGCAAAGCCCATCAGCATGTGAAGGCACTCGAGGCCGAAGCTAAGGCTGCCGCGAAGTCCTGGAAGTATCATGGCAGGCGAGCAGTGAGGGCGCAGCGAGCGGCACACATGCCGGAGCATGTCTACGAGCGGCATGAAGACCACATGGAAGACGCAGTTGGGGATGCCGAGGACAAGGCCGAGGATGCGGCGGAGCGGCTGGAAGAGCAACTTAGCCATCACTACGAGAAGCTGGAGGACGAACTTGCAGACGCATCCTTTGATGCCAGCGGCAAGGCCTTGAGGCACAGGGCAGAGAAGGCCCAACACCGTCTGCAAGAGCTTGCCCGGAATCTTGGGGCTCACGCGGCGCTAAAGGAGGCCCTCGCAAAAGCGCGGTTTGCTGCAGAGGAGAAGTCGTGGAAAGAGTCCCATGCTCCACAGCTGCTTCTTGGACGAGATGGGTACTCTGTGGTCATTAGTTGCCTTGCGGACTTGCGTTTCGATGTTCCTTCCATGAGGCTGGATGCAGCAGCTTCAGGTGATCACCTGCGAGGAGCCCGTTTGCAGAGTGATTTTCGTTCAGCAGTCGCTACGCCATTAATCAGGCAGTCATTGAGCTGCGGTCAGGAAGTTAGTACTGCGGTTGTGGGCATAAAGGGTCCCCATGTTCCTGTTCTCTTGGTGCATGGTCTGCTCTGGGGAGCGAACAGCCACAAGCAGTAGGCAGACCTGCCGTTGTGTCCTGACTCCTGACGAGGACTTTTGATTGCAAGCGTTTTTACTGCGTCCTTCGTGGCAGCTCTTGCGTTCGTGCAGCGTCGCCGTCCGGTGAAGGCTTTCTGGGGGACGGCATGAGGGTCCGGGCTGACCTAGTCTGAATGCGAGGTCTTGAGCCTGTAGGCGATGTTGTTGACGCTTGTAATTTGGGCCTGTTTCCCGCCTTGGTGTTATGCAGAGCTGAAAGGATGTTTTGGCCATGCTAGCGAATGCCACATTTCCGTGGGAGGTGGATGCGCCTCCTCTCCTGGGCTGAAGCTCGTTTGGGGTTTTCCAACCCCGTCGCCTGTGAGACTGTTTGCAAGACAGTGCGCAGCTGCCAAGCACAAGTCGTAGTTGAGGTATCGAGGCTCAGGCTCTGGTCTACAAGAAGTCCTGCATAGAACCTGACCAGTCAAGAAGCATCTTACTGAAGATTCTGCCGCTCCTGCAATCTGCCTCACAGTCAGCCCTGATGGGCTGATGCCTCCTGCAGAGTTTGAACAGAGGCGGCATATTTGAAGACATGGTTTCCTGTTGGCTCTGCCATGACACGAGACCGATTCGTCTGGACATGGCAAAGGCCGGTACACATGTCCGCTCTAGGGATCATTTGAGGGAGCTGCTATGTCTATGTTCCAAGCTTCAGGAAGAGGTTCGCAGCACATGGTTGCCAAAGCGGAGACCATGTTGGATTTCGCTTCAAACCAGCAGAATCGCTGCTTTCACAGACTTAGCACACATGATCCTTATCCGCTGCTGCCTGAATATGTTGGTCGATGAGTCGATAAGGGATGTGCTCTAAGTCAGAGAGAAGGTGCGTGTGCTTTGACTGTGCGACTCTTGGCCCGGTTCCGTTGTCGATACCGACACTGATTCTGATAGAAGAGCAGACGACGGACCCGATTAATTGGAACCCAAGAGGTTTCATGTTCGGCGTTTTGGTGGTCCTTGCAGCCTCGCTGCCACAAGCCAGGACCGTTTTCATGCCGGGCGCTAGGCCCGTGCTAGGCGCTAACAAGAGCTGGATAAAGACCCGGTAAGTTCTGCTTCCAGTGCACTGCATCATTTTCTCAGATCTATCTCAGTGCTATGTGACCAGGCTATGTCCCAGTCTTTGACGGACCTGCGGTTGTCCGTAGATGGCTTGGTCAAGCCCGCCTCAGTCGAGGCCGAACACTGAGGTGTGCTGTGGGTTTGCTCACTTGGCTTGCTGTCAACCAGTACATTTCTACGCGTCTGGCTCCTCAAGTTTTCCATCTCCCGAATCCAATGCAGCTAGAGGAACTTGGCACCAAAGTTGGTGAGATCCAGCAAGCCTTGGTCAACCAGGAGCAGACGAAGCCAGAGAGAGCGTGATCTCATGCGCAAGTATGTGGCATGTCGAGAATCCATAATGGACGGTGGCCCTGTTACCCTTTCCCAACCCATCAGGAGAAGCGGAGCGATCAGCGGGATGTTTCCCTTGAGGCTGCCTTCGAGGTCGCACTGCCAGCTTGCATGTTGGAGGTGCTAGATCCTACTAGTTACTAGTTTGGGATGGCGAACTGTAGCAGCAGCCCTGGTATCGCCATCGGCCACCGCCTCTGTGACTAGAGTGTCAGCACAAAGGATGTCAGCAAAACCTTGACCTGTGCTGGGCTGCTGGGCACTTTCGTGACCGGAGGAAACCTTGAAGACCATCAAGGACCTCTTGGATCGTGCCATCACAATGCTTGTGCTTCTTTCTGGCTTTGGCCCTGTACTCGGACCTATGTCGGCTCAAAGATTCAAGATTGACGAGTTCGCAGACCAATTCCGTGTTGTCCCGACCCGATGCCTTGGAAGGAGAACTTCAATGGCTTCAGCCAGAGCTCCGTCGAGCGACACGAGGAGACGTCGAACGGAAGTCTGCCCAGAGTTTATACAGATTCGAAACTGCAGATCAGCTCGGTCAGAGCTTAGCGGATTCTTCCGCACAGGGCCTGAGCAGCGCGCTCGATGCTCTTCGTGCGCAGATAGAGGCCTTTGTTTTCTGCAAGGTTTTGGTGCTATAAGAAGAGGTCGCCTTGTGAGTAGAGGGCCTTTGTTCTCTAGTTTGTCTGGCATATCCCATGCGCCCAGCCCGAACTTGGTCAAAGCCTGGACCCTCTAACCCAGAACCGTGAACTGCAAGTCTTTGAGCAAGATCTCCACGAAGCTTGGACGATATACTTTGGGACTCTGGTGAACGTATGCCGATCTCATTTGGTATAGCGGTGAGTGTCCATTTGGGGTTGTGGTGATACTAGTAGTACAAACCTTGCTTTTTCTATGGTTTGGACCAGTACTTTGCTTTTGCTCTACAATTGATGGCAATTTTGGCTTCATGTAAAGAAAGACTGGAAATTGACAACACAGCTTTCGGGGGGTCGATGGCAATGGGTTTCTCTGTGTGTTTGCTGTGAAGTCTTATCGTACAGACTGCATCCATGAAGCTGTCCGATGTCTTTTGGACTTATCGGAGTTGGCAGGCAGTCAGTGCCGAGTCTGCCAATACCTTACACGCCTGTGTCGGCCGATTTCTTCTGCTCTTCAGAGTGACCCTGGCCAGAGTATTTCCGGATGCAAAGATGGCACTGGCGGAGTAGAAGCCTCTGAGGTGGCCCAGCAGCAGAGCCAGCAACAGCTGGCGGAGGCCCGGAGCCCAGAAGCAGCAAAAAACCGCTTGAGTCCGCTTGAGTCCGCTTGTGGAGCTCAGGAGCTGCTGGAGTCCACCAAGACAGCCTCACAGGTGCTCGGCGCAGGATGATTGCTTGACAAGTACTGCTTCGGAAGCTGCTGCCTCACTTCAGTGCAAGGCACAGTCTTCGGGGTTTCGAGATGCTTGTGAGCAAGCCGGAAGCCAAGGGCTTCAAGACTTAAAGCCTGCATTGCCCAAGCCGCGGTGAGAGTGCATGAGGACAAGATCCAACAAGATGCTATGTGCGCTTCATACCCGTTACCAAGTCCATCAGACTTCAAACGACGTGCATAAACGCGCTTGTGTCCCTTGGCGCCTGATCTTGCAAGGTCACGTCAGACTTAGAGTCGCCCAATTAATTGTGCGAACAGAACCGGAACGACCGGTCCTGGGATCAGCGGAAACAGGGCAAACAGATTCCTGCCCTTTGTGCTCTTCTTCCCTACTCCGAGGCTCCAATATCCGATGCAAAGCCCAGAAAGTGAGATAGCCTCCTGCGAGATCAACCAGTGGCTCAGGTCACCTCCTCAACCCTGGATGCGCTGAGCTCTCTGCAGAGAAGATTCGAGGTTCTGTGGTTTGTGCTGCTGTGCCTGGCGTGTGAACGATGCCTGGCCGCGCGTGCTTTCCAGGACACCGACGGTGGGGTGCAGTCCTTGCAAAGCAGTGTCTGGCACAAAGATGAGAATGAGAGCTGCATGCTCGTCAATTCGACGTCCTAATGTTGCGAAACCTCGGCCGTGGGCGACTTTGTGTTGGTAGTTCAGGTCTCCTCGCAAAGTCGTCAGTTGGAGCAGCTGCAAAAGCAGGCACGCTGTTAACAAGTCACTCAACGTGGGTAGTTCTCTCGATTAGAAAAGGTTAGGGTCCTTTTCATTAGCTGCCTGATTTAGAGAACTCATGTGCTTGTCATCGCCCTCATCATTGTTTCCTTTGCATGCATCGGCCGCACGACGACGATGTTTGCCGGCTGTGCAGGTGCTTGCGCAACAAGAAGCTTCACAGGCCGTGTGCCCGAGTTCAGACTTACGAGATGCGGTGCTTGTTCTGAAGATGTGTTACCCAAATAGACCCAACAGCCACTGCGACAGGAATTAGGATCCATCCGCCGGAGACTGTTGCGTCCTGCCAGAACATGTGCCCGCTCAGCAAGTTCCGAGAAGCTTTCATAAATTCTGTTTTTCCCTACACTCCTCTAGACTCTGGCTTGCACAGAAACTCGTGCTTCGATAGAAGCTTTGCGACGAAGGCTCAAAGCCGCGAGCTCCAAGAGCTTCGAAAAGGGCTGGCCCACGAGGTGCCGCTTGCAGTTGCTTGCAGTCTCGGAGGGTGTGGGAGGCTGGGTTGGCATGCGGGTTCCTGCGTCCCTGCAACACCTGTGTAGCTGTAGTTGTAGCAAGATTGGAGTTGAATCCTCAACTCTTCCTGAGGGGTTGCCACCTAGGATAGGCATGGATAGGCATGGATTCAGTCCGGTGCAGCACTGGAAGGAAGTCCTAAAACACTTTTTCCAATCAGTGAAAGGCGTCCTGTCTGTCAAATCTGCATGGTGAACAGCCTACAATGCATTTAACGCCAAACCAGGTTCGGGTGTCTCCCGTTCCGTCTCCCTGCTCTGTTCTCCGACTTCTGCTGCCTCCTGATCTGCTCTCCAGGCTGCCTGCGAGGGTCTCCGGAGGGAGCTGGATGCCTCAAAGATCCGCCAGGTCCCGTACACGCTTCCTGCCAGCTTTTTTGCCGCTCGAAGTTTCGCCAGGAGTCCCTGGAAGCTGAGAAGATCGCCAGGGCGAAGGCCTCTCTTTGAGAAATTCTGAGACGCAGGGAAGCAGTTGCTGTGCTGGAAGGTCTGGGATGAGGAACGAACGGTCCTGGAGAAGGAGGTCCTCCCACGCTCCCAGGGTCCCAGCTTTTGGGCAGATGGTAAGGCTGCCTGCCTGCCCCTATTGTGCTTCAACGAAAAGGTGCGTAGGATAGCTTGACTCAGCGTGTGTGTGTGTGTCATTGCATGCCCGGGCGACGCTGCCGGCCTTTCAGAGACGGACACGTCCCCCTATGTGCACCATCCGTGTCGAAAGCCGCCAACTGCCTAAGCGGCTAGCCACCGCGAACCTGTGACCAGGGTTGAGTTTTGCCTATGGCATTATGGCCTTATGAACATGGTGAAACCACATCAGAGAAGAAAGCACCCAGCACTCGTCTGCTTGACAAAAACACAGCTGCGCGGGCCCATGTGAGTTCGCCATGGTGACTGTGGAGGCCAGCGAGATGCAGCCCACGTTGCGATAGCCCATGTTGCCATCACCAGTGTCTCAGTACACTTGCGCCGCAGGAATTTTGTCCTTTTGCCAAAACCACTTTGGGATCGGGGCCCTTGAGGCCTTCGAGCCGGCAGCCTGGAACGACTCGGCACCCGGGGCACCCTGGGGAGGCAGGCGGTGCTTCGGGACACTTTTGTGCACAGAGCTACTCGTCACACTGACATATCGCGAGGCCAGTCGACAATATGGGACGCGTGCCGCGACCTGATGCTGGCGGAGCGTGGACGTTACCTCCAGGCACAGCGGTCCCTTCGTTGGCGCCTTGCTAAGACTGTACTCTCATGACCCTCATCCTCATGTCCAGCAGGCGAGACTAGGTATTAGGAAAGTGAGACGTACGAAGGCAAAGGCATCTACGTGTCTCTAACAGGTTTCCTTTACATATACACCTGTTGTGCATTTGTCGCTGTCTCTCTCTATGTGCCTCTCTCTCACTCTCTCTCTCTCTCTCTCTCTGTCTCTCTCTCTCTCTCTCTTTCTGCCTCTTGCACTGCTTGTCGGTGTCTTTGTCTTTGTCTGTCTCTGTCCGTGTTTCTCGCTTGCTTGCTCTCGTCATTTCATCATCTCTTCCTCTCCCTCTCTCTCTCTCTCTTATACTCTTTGCTCGTCTAACTGGAGCGACTCCGTTTGTCTCTCTGTCTCGCGCTCGCTCTCGCGGCCAGCCCACGCACCTCAAGCCCCGGCGCCACGTCTACGACCTCGCGACCAGAAGCTCTTTGGCACGTCGCTTGCCCGACTTAATTGGGGCCCAGTAAGACACACAGCAGCAATCTTCGTTATCGCAACTGCCCCAGCAGTTGTTCTGCAAGCTGTTGATTGCTTCTGTCAAGTTTCGCTCTCCTTCCTGTGGCATTTTTAAAGCAGAGGCGAGGAGCCGAGACGGCCCGGCGAGCCCAAAGCGCGCAGTGCCACTTTGCGGCGGATGCCGCAGCGGGGGACCCGAGAGACAGCTGAGCTTCAACTCATGGAAAATCCTAGCCGAGCGTGCTTTGCATGGCTTCTCTTTTGCTTCTTCAGAACAGCAGAGGTGGCCGGCGCCTACGTTCGACAGCTCCGCATTCAAGGCATTTGTCTCTGCAGGGCCTGATGGTTCAGAGCAGGGAATAGAAGCGAGCGGATTCTGACAACTGTGCCCTACTTTCTGGTGGGTCGTCTGCTTACTGTGCTCCCCAGATGCTGCAGCTGCAGCTGCCGTGCGGCTCCCGGATGCTCCCGGCTTGCAGTGCAAAGTGCATTGCCAGTGCTGCTAAAACCCCCTTCGGATTAGTTAGGTTTAGCTCTGCATTGCATGGTCTTGCGCTGCTCTGCACTTTCAGGCCAGACCCTATACCGCCCCAACCATCAGCGCATGGACGCTTGGACGGGGATGGGGAGGCACTCCAGAAGCCCTACAAGTCGTCGCAGCTGTGTTTGTGTTTCTGCGTGGGTGGCCGAGTCCGTTGCAAGACTTGGAGTGGCCTATGGCAGCTATGGTGCGTCTCAGCACTCGAGTGCAATCATGCTGGTGCTGCGCAGTCGAGCTCTTCAAGAATTTTCTTGGCCCGTAGCCTCCGGGCTCAAACCTGTGGGCCTGTGGGTCGATGCATGCGACCTGAGGCTTGCGCAAGGGCCTTTGTTAGGATCTTGTGTCAATGTTTTGCCTGGAGCTGCCGAGCTCTCAATCCTTGTTCTGCTTTCGCGCCCAGGCGTGCTGATCGCCATGGAAACGCAGCCCAGCTGCACGTAGCATTCGTTGCATTGGTTTTGCCTTTCATGGCGGCATGGAGCCTTGGAGCTGTCTCGATGTGCCGGAGGCCTCCGAAGTCGAATGCACTAGATGAGGCTCGGGCTTGGGTGCTGTGGTCTTCTGAGAACGGGGGAGGGAGCTGATCGCAGCTCTCAGCAGATGGATCCTTAGCCGCCTTAGCCTTCAGGCGTCGCCATCAAAGCTGTTGACACCAGGCGCGCCCTCCAGACCTCCCCTTCCCGACAGCCCCTTCGCTGCGGCCTCTTCGACATTCCATGAGCTGACAGGCAACTCTCCAGTCTGGATCTCAGAGCCTTCAGATGCTTCAACAGCTCTGAGGCACATTATGTCATTATGTAATAATTGCCTAGACTGGGCGATCTTCCGAAGACTTCAGACTGCACGTGCATTGAGGCCACGGTTTCGACAGCGGCCTCACCAATGAAGGCCACGGCTTTGTGTCGATGAAGCCACGTCCAATCGGTCCAGGGCTACATGAAAGTGCTCTCACTCGTTCTTTGAGAGTAAGCCGATCGACAGCCGAATATCTTCCTACATTCGTCGGCAAGCAAAAATCGATGCCCAGGTTTATGCGGGGTTGCCGGACTACGAGTACCCCTCGCCGGTGAGCGCTGCAAGCTCAGAGATCACACGACGGCAGGGCAAGGCATGACTGAAGAAAGAGGACTAGGAAAGGCCCACAGAAAAGAAGCAACAGGTCCGCAACACCTTCTTGAATGTGGAGATTGGAAGGCACGAGAGCGCAGCACGTAGCAGCTGTTGTAGCCTTGAGCCTGCACAGCTCAGGCCACCCTCCATAGATGAGTTTTACCAGGAGCGCGGCCTGCGCCGAGTCCTCGAAATGTCGGAGCCCGGTATAAAGATGGGCAGCTTGTGTCCTGCAGGCTCTGCACCAGGCAGTGCTTTTGGAATTCCACCTGGCCAGGCTCCCAGGCTTCTAGGACATCCCAGCACCTCCCAGCGCTGCCTCGCGCGTGGTAGCATGTGGTAGCAACAAGGATTGGACTCCGGGATCACTGGCAGTCAGGTCACGGACGAGGCGCAGTACCCTGACCTTGCTCTTGATGTCTTCAATCATCTAGAGGTACACCCTGTTCCCCCCATTTTGCAGGATGACTTCGTGCCCCGGAAGGAGAACATGCAGGACAACTCGCCCAAGGCGTTAGTGCAAGACTTGTTTGTTCGACGGGTCAAACCTGGGGTCAATGAAGGGCAGGGGGCCCGTGCTCTCGCCAGCAGGCCACGACTGCTTCGTCACAGCCTGGCTCGACCATCGCAGTCACCCAGTGGCCGAGGCCGAGTTTGACGAAGCTCTGAACAGCAAAAACTTGCCATCGAGACACACTGACAGACACAGACACAGACACAGAGACACACAGCCACAGAACCACAGAGACACAGAGACACAGAGACACAGAGACACAGACACACAGAGACACATACACAGAGACACACACACA